CCCAAAGAGCCACACGCAGAAGCGGATCCTCATCCATCCATGACGCGGCAACAACATTTCCAGCCATTCCACCCACAATGGAATTTGATGCCCGACTCAAAGCGGTCATAGGTGGTGCATCACACCCGCAAGAAGAGTGACTCGCCGTGCAAACTCACTCTCTCCTCCCCTCGCTTCATGCCCACAGAAGGAGGCGCCAGCCACCCGCACGCACTACAAAAGAAGCATCCAAATCCACTGCAATGTGTATCTTGTGTGTCTGTGTGTGTGTGCCTGCAGCAGCACAAGTCAAAAAAGTAAAAAGAGGAGCAGAGCATGTGAAGAGACGCACAAACAAAACTGTACAGCAGAGGTGCATGGCAAAAATAAGGAGAAAAAGGCTGCTCAAGCTCATGATATTGCACTGCAGACAAAGCAGCGGCAATTCATAAAAAAACTATTAAAATCTTTAAAAAATTCATCTTCACCCTTCCACCCCTCAAACTTTGGAAACAATAAGAAAAAATTAAAAAATTTAAAAAAAATTTGAAAAAAAAAAAAAAGAAAAAATTGAAAAAAAAAAAAAAAGAAAAAAAGTAAAAAAAAATTGAAAAATGTCGTCCTCTATTACGGCTGCACACAAATAACAAAAAAAAGGAAAAAGAAAAGCCACACAAAAAAATTTCACCCGGTTACCGTGTGACCATACCAAACTGTTTTTTTGTTTTGCCCAAAAAGAAAATTAAAAGATATTTAAATGCCCTTCAACCGTCCGACCCTCCGTGTGTCCGCACATCGTTTATATTTCATGGGGTCATCCGCGTGTTGCTGCTCCCCTCAGCCCTCTCATCGGCGCGTGAGTGCGGCCCGCAGAGCACAGTCACTCGTGTGTGTGGCCTGAGAGAAGCACGCAGACATGACGGCAGTCGCGTCACTCCATCGGGAGAGTGAGCGCAGCAAAGAAAAGAAATCATCAGGGGAAAAGAAACGCTCACGAGACCAACCCCGAAGGGTGCGCCAGCGCAAAAACAAACACACAGTGAGAAAGTCAAAGAAAGAAAGCACAATTACTTTTTAAAAGCGGCAGGGTGTGGCTGTGTGAGTGTGGTGCTGCGGGTGTCTGCCCGCCCTGGCCGCAAGAAAACAAAACAAGAGGGAAGGAAATGTGTGCTCCGCCCCACCGGCCCTCGTCGAACGCCCACACGTCACGGCTCCCTCAGCGCGCCGTTCGTCGCGGCCCCTCCTCATGCGTGCAGCAGGCGAGGCGCACAGGGCCGTCGTCATGAGCGTGTCGGTGGGTGTGCGAGTGGAGCAGTTGGGCGGGAAACACACGGCACCCCTCACAGGAAGAGTACCGCAAGAAACAATTAAAAAAGTAGAAAAGAAAAAAACGTTCATAGTGGTTGCCCCGAGGCAACAAGCAAGATAAGGGAAAGTGATTTGCAAAAAAAAGAAAAGAAAAGAAAATGGAATCAAAAAATTCATTGGGTGATGCTTGGATGCCGCTCAGTTGTTGCTCCACAGAATTTCGAAACTTTTCTCTCCCCAATTCATTCAGCAGAGAGCCGCGGAGCCCCACAGCCCCAGAAGCAGCAGCAACAACACCCGAGACACACAGCCATGCACGGTGCTGTCATGGTTAAGAGCCGTTGACAGCAAATCCGCAAATTCGCTGGTGTTGAAGATGTCGTTGTCCGAGTGTCGTGCCGCGCCTTTTGTTGAGGGGATCGCTTCGTCTCCAGGCGTTGTGCTTGTATTAGCCGGTGCGGTGTCGACCGTCTGTGGCATCTCCCCGCCGTCTTCAGAAGAAACTTCGGCTCCTTCAGTCCGAGAGACGTCGTCGGTGTTCTCCGCGGATGTAGGTTCGGCGTTACTCTTCGAAGGAGTGGAGCTGCTGTCTGAGTTCATTGCTCTCTCGGAATTGCTGCCCCCCGCCTCGAGGCTGAGGCTTTGCTTCGCGTCGGTGGTTCCGGTTCCAGTGGACCGCACTTCGTCGTTTTCAGCGGGAAGCTCAATGCTTTGTTGCACTTGGTGCTCACCGTAAGCTGGTCCAGTGACCGTTTCCATATTCAATGACGCAGTCACTGGAGACGTTAATCCGCCACTCCCGTCATCCGCTTCTCCCTCCTCCTCTGGCATTTCTTCTTCATTACTTTCAGAGGGTTTTTCAACATCAGTGACCTCTGTTGACTCCTCTGACTGTAGGTCTTTTGTCTGCACATCTGAATCCTGTTGCATCGATTCCTTCACTTCATGCAGCGTAGATTGCTGAGACTCTTCGCCTTCGGAAAGCTGGGCATTATTCTCTGGAAGAGAATTCTCTGCGATCTCCGCTGCTATGGCGGGTTCGGAAACAGATGATCCCGCGACAACCGTGGAAGAGGAAGCTGCAGGCAGCGGATCATCGGCGCTGTTTTCTCCTTGTTCATCAGGATCATTCTCATTCAATTTCTCATGGCTGGTGGTGCTTTCCACACTCTTTGACTCGGAAGCAACCAAAGTGCCCGTGTTGGCCACCAGTTCTGTGGGCTGTTCCTCGACACTCAGTGATGGAATAGTGACTTTGCTGGCGTGGAGATCATACAGATTATCACTTAAGAGTTTCTCGTTGTAAAGCATGACGTTGGTCACCGTCACGTGGCCGCCCGTTGCACTTTGGTTCTTACTGTCCCCACCGATGTAGAAGTGTGAGATCCTGTGCGAGTTAAACAGACTCTCATCATATCTCTTTTGGCGGATTTCGTATCGATTTACAAAGACAGTCCATTCATCATCATCATCCATTCGCAGTACCACCTGATACGTCTCGTTTGGCTCCCACACATAAACATCCTCCGGATCACCAGAATTCTCAGGTATGGCCAGCCACTTCTTTTCATGGGTGTACGACAGACCAAAGAGGACCGTGCTGCTGGTGTCATTCATCCTCACGCCAATCAAAGGAACGGGGCTGCCATCTTGCGGCACCTCATGGATGGACACCGTCGCCACAAGAGTGAACTTGTTGTTCGCAAAGTAGTACGGCACAGTCTGCCCCATATCGCCAACAGGCCACACCGCCCCTGCTCCAGACCCTTTGAACGTCAATCCATTGGGAACTTCTCTCCTTTTCTCCCCATTCGTCACTGTTGCATTCACGCCGAGGTACTCGTCCCTCCATGTGTTCTCAGAGAAGTTACCAGACAAGAAGCCAACAAGCCTCTCAGTGGGAACAGGACTATTGCACATACCTTTTTTTCTCGGGTCGACAGTGGCGCTGGAAACGGAACTGCAGGATTGCAAGGCGCCGTCCAAATCTTCCCATGTCTTCACCACTTCCTTTATCCGCTCCAGTTTCTCGGTCAGGCGCACAGCAACAAGATTGTATGCTCCGTCGCTCCTCTTGTTCTCGTACAGTGAAATCAACTCCTTATTTTTATCCTTTATCAACAGCGAGCTCGCGGCGGCGTCATCTTCTTCACGGGATACCGGCCCAACATCATACACACGTGCCTTGTCCGTCACCCAAAGATGGAGCCGACCCTTTTGTTTATTTTCTTTGTCGTTCTCCTTGGAATACACCGGCGCGGTGATGAGCATCACCTCCTTTCCCTCAATAATTGCGGTGGTGGATCCACTCTGGACGCCGTGCCCCTTTCGATTGTGTGAGTTGCCCCACACGCGGGTAATTGGCTCACCCGGCGTATACCAACTGACTCCATCCTCAGTGGACCTGTAAACGTCATAGTAGCCTCCAGCACAATGAGCCATCATGAAGAGTCTTTCGTCGTCTTCGTATTTTTCCCACTTCACAAGGGTTGGATCCCTGCAGCCCTCACCAGGCCTCGTGGATGAAAGCTCCCATTTTTTGTCTGACGGGTCAAAACTCATGGATAGTGAAACACTCGTTCCATCATTGTTTTTGGCCTGCATGGGAAACACAATCGTGCCGTCGCGCATCACAGCGCCCGATCCTCCACCGCCAATTAACTCGGTCAAGGAACCAGATTTTCCTCTGTGTTGAGGGTTCACCACATGGGTCTCATTCCATTTGATTTTCTTCGTCCCACTCTCATCAGAGACAGTTCCCTTCACGAGTAAAAGGCCCCGCTCATTCGTACCTTCAACCTGCAGCTTCTTATGGTTTTGGTTTCCCAGGAGCACGTAAACACTGTCCCCAAGTACAAGTGTCGTTGGCCGCAACACTTCTGTTGTCCCAAAATTATTCGCGGTGGTGTCCCCAAGTTGCATGCAAAACAAACTTATATCCGACGTCAAAATATCCATTGAGTCACCACTTATATTCAGGTGCTTTGACACAATCCCAGCACAGCAGCCGGCTCCATCCTTCTCCCCGCACAGCGCTTCAGCCACGGCAAATACATCATTACCCACTTTAACAAGGCCAGGAACACGGAGCGAGGTGATTTTGCCGCCAGACTCTTTAAACTCCCTCCAATTAGCAAATGATATCGGCGACGTCCCTGTAAAAGGATCAACAGCGGCCCCTGCCTGCTCAGCGGTCGCAGTTCCACTGCCGCAGCACATCATCAAAACAAGTAGAAGCAGCACCGCGGAAGTAAACACACGCCGGGACATGTTGGGCCTCTGCCTCTCTCTCTCTCTTCCTTCCCTCCTCCTTCCGCTGGATCCGGCCACGCGGCGACGGTTGTTTTTGCGGGGTGTCTCCACTGCAGCAACACGTGAGAGCATATAAATATGTGTGTGGGCGGTGTGTGTGCTGTTGGTCCTTTCAGTGTCTTCGAAGTTCACAGTGGCGAGTAGCGCTTGTTTGCTTGCTTTCCTAGCGTGTCTGTGTTCAGGAAGTGGAGGGAAAAGGGAAAACAAGCCAAGTAAAGAGATGAGACAGCGAACAGAGCCACTCCGCACCGGCCATCACGGGCGTCACGGCGGGCCGTCGGTGTGTGCGGGCCAGCCCTCACGCGGTGCAACACGCCACACCCAACAGGGAATGACAGACAGACAGGCGGAGAGAAATGAATGGATGCCGTCACGACGCACTCACAATCAACATGGCCCGTGAGCATGCGGCCACTCCACGCAGGAACACAGCAGGAAAGGGTGAGAGGGGAAAAGCAAGAAGCAGCACAACACACACGGAAGAAACAAATTGCGGGAAAAGCATCGCCCTGGCCGGCAACTCCACACCAGCCCTCACACACACATACCATCACAGTGCTGCCAGTCCGCGGGTGAGAAGATTCGGCCCTCCACAGAACAAACGCACACAACGCCAGCAATCAAACACCAATGGACAAGAACGAGGAGGAACGACACACCGCCATCACCTCCAGTTCAATCCCACGGACAACGGGATACAGCCACAGCCCCGCAGCCAACACAATGCACACGGAGCGAGCAATCACCCAAAGAGCCACACGCAGAAGCGGATCCTCATCCATCCATGACGCGGCAACAACATTTCCAGCCATTCCACCCACAATGGAATTTGATGCCCGACTCAAAGCGGTCATAGGTGGTGCATCACACCCGCAAGAAGAGTGACTCGCCGTGCAAACTCACTCTCTCCCCTCGCTTCATGCCCACAGAAGGAGGCGCCAGCCACCCGCACGCACTACAAAAGAAGCATCCAAATCCACTGCAATGTGTATCTTGTGTGTCTGTGTGTGTGTGCCTGCAGCAGCACAAGTCAAAAAAGTAAAAAGAGGAGCAGAGCATGTGAAGAGACGCACAAACAAAACTGTACAGCAGAGGTGCATGGCAAAAATAAGGAGAAAAAGGCTGCTCAAGCTCATGATATTGCACTGCAGACAAAGCAGCGGCAATTCATAAAAAAACTATTAAAATCTTTAAAAAATTCATCTTCACCCTTCCACCCCTCAAACTTTGGAAACAATAAGAAAAAATTAAAAAATTTAAAAAAAATTTGAAAAAAAAAAAAAAAAGAAAAAAAGTAAAAAAAAATTGAAAAATGTCGTCCTCTATTACGGCTGCACACAAATAACAAAAAAAAGGAAAAAGAAAAGCCACACAAAAAAAATTTCACCCGGTTACCGTGTGACCATACCAAACTGTTTTTTTGTTTTGCCCAAAAAGAAAATTAAAAGATATTTAAATGTCTTTCAGCCGTCCGACCCTCCGTGTGTCCGCACATCGTTTATATTTCATGGGGTCATCCGCGTGTTGCTGCTCCCCTCAGTCCTCTCATCGGCGCGTGAGTGCGGCCCGCAGAGCACAGTCACTCGTGTGTGTGGCCTGAGAGAAGCACGCAGACATGACGGCAGTCGCGTCACTCCATCGGGAGAGTGAGCGCAGCAAAGAAAAGAAATCATCAGGGGAAAAGAAACGCTCACGAGACCAACCCCGAAGGGTGCGCCAGCGCAAAAACAAACACACAGTGAGAAAGTCAAAGAAAGAAAGCACAATTACTTTTTAAAAGCGGCAGGGTGTGGCTGTGTGAGTGTGGTGCTGCGGGTGTCTGCCCGCCCTGGCCGCAAGAAAACAAAACAAGAGGGAAAGAAATGTGTGCTCCGCCCC